AACTGGAAAAAGGGGTTAGCTAAGAAGAAGGTTAAAAAAAAACCCCTAATGGATTGTTGTTAAATTTCATGTGGAATTCAATTGCATAAACAGTTCTCATAAAAATAGCAAGAAATGTTAGTGTTGTTTCAGTAAGACAGCGAAGCCTAAATGGTCTGAGAGAAAGAAACCAAGCCCAGTGCAGCAGTACCAGTTTCACTAGGGTGGGGGGAGAGGAAGGGTGTGTCAGGGTCTTTAGTCAGGTTACACAACACAGGGCTTCATAAGAAGATAACTGTTGATTGGTAAATCCAGTACTAGAGACACGTAAACAGCTTGTGTCAGGAATGGCCACCTATACATGGGCCTCTGATTTATAGTAGAATCAAACATCCCCCTTGTAAGCATAAGCCAATGGATACATCTCGCGCGTGCAGGCAAAGCAAGCAGGCAAAGTAAAAAGCCGTTAACTTTCACAGCCGAGAAAAGCTGTAGCATCTACAAGGTCAAGCATAAGATAGCAACAGTTGGTGAGCCAGGGAGAGCTGAGACAGAAAATGGGAGGGCACCCCTCCACATTCCAGACTCATGACAGGGCTACCTGACAGGGTGCTGGCTTCCCAGTAAGGCCATCATCCAGTTACAGACCAGTCCTGATGAGTCATATAATACCTACTGTGGTCTTGATCTGACTGGGGCCCCTGCGGTGCATCAGGGTTGAGTTCCCCAGAGGGAACTTGCATCGCTGTGTTTTTGCTAGTCCCCATGGCGACCAAGAGTTACACGTAATCTCTAGTCTAGTTTGGGTCTCAAGAGTGAACCTATGGAGAAGAAAGCAGCCCAGCCTGGGGGCCAATCCACGTCTGAGGAGGAACGCCAGTCTGTCGCTTGCTGTCTCTTTTGGGCCTGTACTGATGTTTGCGCTAGGCCGTATGTGCCGCAGAGGCAAAATACAGGGTTAAGATTTTACAAATGGGTTTAAGAATACAACAAATAAAATATATTGACATACAACTAATTCAGAAGGGAACAAGAACTTTGTTTTTAATTATATGCCAAAGACTTATACAAAACTATGATGTGGAGTGTAGAAAATAAATAATTAAATATTGTACGAAGTACTTAGACAATTTAAGGGTGTAACAGAAACCCCAATTTATGTGTTTATGTTTGTTTGTGTTGTGTTTGTTTTCTGTATAATAAAAAGATTTGGAAAGTATGTGCCACAGAGGCACAAAGATCCTGAAGGGGCAAGTGAAAGTTAAGGGGAAACAAAGGGGGCAGGTGTGGACACAGCCTCTGAAGTACGAGGAGCTGGTCAAGGAGAAGGGAAGATACGGTTCTTGGGTGCTTTGAGGAAGCATTTGTAGAAAGGGAAGGGGGGAGGGGCTGAGGCTCAGTGTCACGCAAAAGGTCCCAGGTTCGGCCCCTGGCATCTCCAGTTGTAATGATCAGGTGATTGGGAAAGACCTCCACCTAAAACCCTGGAGAGCTGCTGCCAGTCTAGAGTGGACAATACAGACCTTGATGGACCCCAGTGGCCTGACTCCGTATCAGGCAGCTTCTCGTGTTCTTGTGAAGAGGGAGTTAACCCTCTTTTTGCATCCTGCTTCACATCTTTCCAGAATGTTGATGATGGGGACTCCGGCTTGGACTCCAGTGAGCTCCTGAAGTTTGTGGAACAGAACGAGACGGCCGTCAACCTCACCAGCTACGTGGACCAAGAGACCAACAGGCTGCTCAGGTAGGTGGAGGCAGGAGAATAAAGTTTAGGCGCCGCATAGGACTGCATCACATTATGTATGTGGGGAGGGGGTTTTTTTAATAAAAAAAATAAAAGCTTCAGGAGTGATAGTTGAGAACACCCTGACCTGGATGGACCAAGCTAGCTTGATGTCGGCAGATCTCAGAAACTAAGCAGGGTCGGTCCTGGTTGGCCCTCTGATGGGAGACCACCAAGGAAGTCCAGGTTTGCTGGGTAGAGGCAGGCAATGGCGAACTGCCTCTGAATGTCTCCTGCCTTGAAAACCCTACTGGGTGTCAGACTCCTGCAGCAATCAGTTCCCAACAGCTTTCATTCAAAGAAGTAAAGTTTATTGAGACAGATGATAGTATGCAGACATCTTAACCATCCTGCGTTAGAACTGGCCAAAAGCACGCAAAGCAAGCAGTTATAGTGGCCAGTTTGGTGTAGTTGTTAAGTGCGTGGACTCTAATCTGGGAGAACCAGGTTTGATTCCCCCACTCCTCCACTTGCAGCTGCTGGATGACCTTGGGCAAGCCATAGTTCTGTCAGATGCTGTTCTCTCAAGGACAGTTCTGGAAAGAGCTCTCTCAGCCCCACCCGTTGTGGGGAGGGGAAGGGAAAGGAGTTTGTAAGCCACTCTGAGAATCCGAGTGAAGGGTGGGGTATAAATCCAATCTTTTCTTCTTCTTCTTCTTCTTATACATAATTCAGGGAGACTCCCTGATGGACCAGGGCCAGTGAGGGGCCAGGTAGAAGCCCGCCAAAGTAATAGACATTAATTCCCAAGAGAAATACTACACCAGGCACTGAAGGTCAAGCATAGATAAGAGAAACAGTGAAGACACATCAGAATCGAAAGTTAACATTCCAAAGTCTACTCAGTCCCATGGCAGCAAGGACTAGACAGAGGCCTAGCTGACACTGGGTTGCCATCAGTCGACTGTGACATAAAGTCAAACTCGGGCCTCGTTCGCCATACATTTCTTAACTGCCTGTCTTTGGTACCTGTAAGCTCACTGCCTTGTTTCACTCTGGCTGGGAATGGGGGGGGGGGCGCATGCGTGAGTGCGTGTGTGGAGTTGCTTTGCTGAGAGTCGTGCTTGGCTTGTAACTGCGTCCATGCACAGTTTGGTGGGATGTATGCATGCTGACCTTGAGTACCAGACACTGGTACCAGACACTGCTAAATAATGTAACCATAGATTTGCAGGTGTTGTAGGAAGGCTGATGGTGTACCGTAGATTTTGGCGGGCTGGATGTATGGATGTGATTGGTCTGGTCACTGGGGGGGCAGGGATTGTTTGAATTATGCATAATTGGAGAACTGGCGCCAAGGGACTCAGTTCTGACACAGACTCGTTTATGCTTGAAACCTCTTTACCTCTCCATAAACTAATCACTGCCAAGAGAGTGTTGTTGGGAGTGAGTTCCTTCAAGACCTGACACATAACAGTACTTTCCTCCACCATTTGAGAGCAGGAAGAAAGGTTGGGTGAGTGGGCTGCTCAGACCTTTCCTTTCTGGCTGGTTGCCTGTCTCTTCCATGCCAGCAGTTTTATTTGGGACAAGAAAAGCCAGCAGGCGGAAAAGCCGCTGAAAGGTACAAATCTGAGAAGAAAAAGGACAGGAAGGAACAAAGGAAGCTTCCATTGCAGCTTTGATCGTTTTTATTAGAAAGAGACACAAACAGGGAGACGATTGCGCCAGTGAGCATCGCCTGCGCCTTACGCAGGAAAGAAACACCTCTTCCAATCGAAACCCGACAGTCGCAGTAACACTCCTGTGCTTATCTGCCCTTTTCCGTTATCTGTTTTCTTAAAAGTAACGCAGCCCGCACTAGGCGAGTGGAAAAGTCAATTTGAAATTGTGCTGGAGTTGAATTACACAGGCCATTCTGTTCCACATTTCTCCTCCTTTTAAAAACAGGAATGTGAGGAAAAAGAATTTCCACTGGGCGGTTCTGCTGTCATTCTCACAGGATTGCCCTCCCCGTGAACCAGAACTTTGCTCCTTCAGGCATGCAGCAGAGATATTAAAAGTTCTTGCCCTCGCAGCCGGCTGCTTTTTAAGCTGTGGCTCATTAACCTTGCCACTCTTCGAGTCTGCGGTTTGACATGGCAATCCTGGTGCTTGTGAAACTGATAAGGAAAGGGGTCTATTAATTTAGGTCACAGAAGGTCAGAAGGATGGGTTGCCCAGTAGCCTGAGGGCCTTTGGCAGATGTGATTCTTCAGGAAACCCAGCTGAAGAAGAAGACTGGGATATTATATGGTCCTCTCCAGCCAATAGTTCCAGCATATACAATGTTAGAGTACAATTTTTAAAACTTTATTCCAGGTGGTACATAACTCCACATCAATTATATAAAATAGACTCTAACAACAACCCAATATGTTGGAAAGGATGCGAGCAGATCGGCACTTATTTACATTGCTGGTGGGGGTGGCCAAAGATCCGTCACTTCTGGGAGGAAGTTCAAAAACAAATTATTGAAATAACTTTGCACGACTTCAACTCAAGTCCTGAGACTTTGTTGCTGAATCACTGGGATGACACCATAGATAATAGAACCAAAGAGATAATAGCATTACTCCTAGCAACAGCTCGATTGACAATAGCCACATGCTGGAAATCTCCGCTGCCACCTACATTAAATGCTTGGCATGATAAGATTTGGGAACAGTTTGTGATGGCAAAAATCACAGACAGAATACATAGAGCACAAACAGATCGGACATCCCTATCCAAATTCGAAACAATTTGGTTTCCGATATTCTCTTACCTTTCAACACATGATATACTCCCAACCAATGCATAGTATCACAAGTGGCTAGTGATGTGAAATTTACTATGGGAATGTCAGCTAACAAATGATGAAATACTTATCTTTTACTTTCCTAACTCATTAGGACAATAATTTTATGCTTAATAGAGGATGTTTCTGTAAAATTGTTAGGTTGTATAAAGCACATTGACTTAATTTTAGAATATTGTATTTTGAGGTACTTTTAACAATTTGAAGCTTTTCTGATATTACTTTCTGTATTGATAAATTAAAACAATAAAGTATTTAATTATTTAAAAAAAAGGAAACCCAGTTGAACTGAGTTGGCTATGTTTGCTTGTAAATATGTGGACCGCTCCTGCTTTACCAGAGTTTGCCTCAGGGTGGAAGAATTTTGAGTTGGTGAAGAGACTTTTTTTCTTCCTTCTTTCCAGGGGACTCTGTGTGGACGCCCTCATTGAACTTTCGGATGAAAATGCCGACTGGAAGCTCAGCTTCAACGAATTCCTCAAGTGCCTCAACCCGTCCTTCAACCCACCAGAGAAAAGTAGGAGCCCCTGGCCTGCGTGAGGGGTGGGAATGGGGCCCCAAAACTGTGAGAGAAAGGGTTGTCCAACTCCAGGTGGTGATCAACCGATATAAACAACCATGATATAGTTACTAAGAACTTACTTTATGTAAATTTCTACGCAATTCACTTAGGCTGTGATCACACACACTAAATAATCCACTTTCAATCCACTTTCAATGCACTTTCCAACTGGATTTTAGTGTCTGAACTGGCAAAATCCAGTTGGAAAGTGCATTGAAAGTGGATTGAAAGTGGATTATTTAGTGTGTGTGATCACAGCCTTATACCAGTTGGACGGCTACAAAACCCATTTCTGTGCTCTTCTTCAGGGGATAATGGGCAGGACTTAGATGGGTTGCCAGCTCTGGGTTGGGAAATACCTGGAGATTTGCGGGGGTGGAGCCTAAGGAGGGCGGGGTCTGGGGAGGGTATAAATGCCACAGAGTCCACCTTTCAAAGTGGCCAGTTTCTCCAGGGGGACTGATCTCTGTTGCCCGGAGATCAGTTGTGATCCCAGGAGATCTCCGGCCACCACCTGGACTTTACAAATTGTGAGAGATCACGGGAGAAGATCATCAACCAATATAAACAACCGTGATATAGTTACTAAGAACTTATTTTATGTAAATTTCTATGCAATTAGTTTATATTACTTAAGCCCTATAAAGATTTTTAACATTACTAGATACCAAATAATTTTACAGTGCATATAATTCCTCTATGATGAATAAAGTGCTTAGGTCAAATAACTGTCCATATAGTTACTCTGAACTTCTAACTGACAACTTCTTCATCCGTTCAACGTTCTATGTGGCAATCCCCTCCTCTTTATGTTGTAAGCTTCAGTCAAGGACACATTCTTTCCCCACTTCTATTAACAGCACATCCGCGGGATGGCTCGAAAACCCGTTTCTGTGCTCTTCTTCAGGGCAAATTCCGCAGTAGAAACATCAAAACAGGCAGCTCCGCTAGCTTCTGACAAGATTAGAAGAACAGGTGGCTCAGCTAGCTCGTGAAAACTCTAATCTTGTCAGAAGCTAGCAGAGCCACCTGTTTTGATGTTTCTACTGCGGAATTTGCCCTGAAGAAGAGCACAGAAACGGGTTTTTGAGCCGTCCAATTGGTGGGAAGCTGCAGATGTGCTACTAATAGAAGTGGAGGAAGAATCTGGCCTTGACTAACGCTTACAGCATAAAGAGGAGGGATTGCCACATAGAACGTTGGACAGATGAAGAAGCTGTCAGTCAGAAGTTCAGAGTGACTATATGGACAGTTATTTGACCTAAGCACTTTATTCATCATAGAGGAATTATATGCACTGTAAAATTATTTGGTATCTAGTAATGTTAAAAATCTTTATAGGGCTTAAGTAATATAAACTAATTGCATAGAAATTTACATAAAATAAGTTCTTAGTAACTATATCACGGTTGTTTATATTGGTTGATGATCTTCTCCCGTGATCTCTCACAATTTGTAAAGTCCAGGTGGTGGCCGGAGATCTCCTGGGATCACAACTGATCTCCGGGCAACAGAGATCAGTCCCCCTGGAGAAACTGGCCACTTTGAAAGGTGGACTCTGTGGCATTTATACCCTCCCCAGACCCCGCCCTCCTTAGGCTCCACCCCCGCAAATCTCCAGGTATTTCCCAACCCAGAGCTGGCAACCCATCTAAGTCCTGCCCATTATCTCAGCTGTCGTTAACTCAAGTCTCATCCTAGGCCTCAGCCACAAAACCAACAATGCCGACACATGCTTCTGGGCCCCCTCCTAAACAGGGCCATTTCCACCTGTCACCAGCATGGTGGAAACCTTTAGCCCTTAGCAGGGGTCGTTTCCTGCCAGAGCGCAGTGGAACAGCGCTCCGGCAGTAAGGAGCCCGGGGCGCCCCCCCCCACCGCCATCCCTGGCCCGCCTGGGGAAATTTAAATGCCTTTCTTTCCCTTCCCCAGATGGCATTCTAAACATGCCTGGGTTCCCTGCCCGATCTTCTCCAGGTGCCATGCTTGCATGCCTGCCCTTTGACAGGGGGTGTGGCATATGCAAATGAGCTCCTGCACCTCTTTTTCTACGAAATGACCCCTGGCCCTTAGAGAGAAAGCAAAGGAGTAGGTCAAGCCAGAATGCGGGTTAGCTGGTTTGATTAGAAGACGGCTGCGCAGCACTCCGAATGCCAAACCATTCCACATACGTTCAAACCGGATTCTCCCCTCTGCCGTTTCAGAGTGTGCCCTTGAAGACGAGACCTATGAGGACGGGGCAGAGACCCAGGTGGAGTGTAACCGCTGCGTCTGTGCCTGCGGGAAGTGGGTTTGCACCGCCATGACCTGCGAGGGTATGTACAGCTGAGAAAGACAGGCTCATTGCAGAAGGGTTTTCTTTTTTTAATCCCTTGTTTTCTGGCATGGCCGAGGCCTGGGGTGTCTGGAATGCTGGCTCTTGTTCCGAGCACTTCACTTACCTTCCATGACGAAAATACACGGGAATATTGAAGATCTGTGAGGTCATGCCAGATTAAGGTGATGCAGGTTTTTTGTTTTGAAGATGGAAACTGGGTTTTTTGAGGGACGGGGATTAATGCAGGTGTCATCTTGGATTTTCAGTTAAAACGTTTAGGAAAATGAGAAATTATTACTCAGACTGGAAACATTTGCATTGGCCCATATAATATGAGTAAGAGACTGGTTAAAGCAGGGGTCCCCAGCCTTTTTGAGCTGGTGGGCACCGTTGGAATTCTGACACAGTGTGGTGGATGCAGCCACAAAGTAGCTGCCACACAGGGGGTGCTGCAGGAGGCGGAGCCAGTCACAAAATGGCTGCCACAGGAAGCGGAGCCAGTCACAAAATGGCTGCCACAGGAAGCGGAGCCAGCCACAAAATGGCTGCCACAGCTTGCCTTCGGTCACACAGCGAAGTTTCTTATGTAGGGGTCGCATCTGCTGCCAAATCAATCTTTTTATTTATTTATTTATTTATTTATTAGATTTATATCCCGCCCTCCCTGCGGACGGGCTCAGGGTGGCTCACAGTTAACGGCACCATGTGCCAAGATAAAACAATTAAAACAAGATAAAACAGTCTTACCTTACATAACTTAAATACAGTTAATACTATAAAGTGCTCATAGTGATAGCCATTCTTCATTCAGTTTGAGGTGGCTTGTAAACAGATGTAATAACAGGGTCCCACTTTAGCGATACTTCGGCCTCCCATGATGCTGCACAGACGCCCTGACCTGAATAGCCCAGGCAAGCCCGCTTGGTGTAGTGGTTAAGTGCACAGACTCTAATCTGGGAGAACCGGGTTTGATTCCCCACTCCTCCACTTGCACCTGGCTGGATGACCTTGGGCAAGCCGTAGTTTCTGGCACAGCTGTTCTTGGAAAAGAGCAGTTTCTGTCAGAGCTCTCTCAGCCCCGCCTACCTCACAGGGTGTCTGTTGTGGGGAGGGGGAGGAGATTGTGAGCCGCTCTGAGACTCCTTTGGGTAGTGAAGGGCTGGGTATAAATCCAATCTCCTCCTCTTCTTCTCTTCTCGTCAGATCTCAGAAACTAAGCAGGGTCGACCCTGGCGAGGACTTGGATGGGAGACCTCTGTGGAATACCAGAGGTGGGAGGCGGGGGCAGGCTTCATTCAGCCACCTCTCTGAATACCCTCCAGGTCCCCAGTAGGATTCAGTCACCAGAGGTCACCTTGACTTCCAGGTGCACGCACACTCACAAGTGCGTGTGCCTGTGTTTACTGGAGTCAGAATTCCCAAGAACCCAGGAACAGACACAGAGACTGGGTAGCTAAAATAATTATTTCTTTACTAAATTTTCTCAAGCATACAAACAATAATCAAGCATTCACACACACAATACAGAACTAAGAAAGCAGAGGTGATTGACAGCTAATAGAGGGGTCGGTTATGTGGTGATACTAACTTTCCAGACATCCAGAGATCCATGAAGAAGAGATTTATGGCCCAAACCCAAAGGTTTGGGGGTGGAGTGTTCAGTGAAACAACTGACTGAAGAAAGGGGCTGTGGCTCAGTGGTAGAGCATCTGCTGTGGAATGCAGGAGGCCCCAAGTTCAATCCCCAGCATCTCCAGTCAAAACAGACCAGGCAGTAGGTGATGAGGAAGACCTCAGCCTGAGACCCTGGAGAGACACTGCCAGTCTGAGTAGACAATACGGCCCTTGATAGGTCAAAGATCTGACTCACTTCATTAGCTTAAGGATCAGGAAATAGAGATGTGAAGCTCCAAGAAAGGAAAGGAATGCCCCCCCCCCATTGGGTATTTTTACAATTTCATTTGAACAAAACTGAGGCATTCATGCGTTAAAATTTGAATCTGTGCCCCGTAGTGAAGTGGTATATTCTAACAAAGGCGTGAATTACATATTTTATGTTCTCAGACTAGTTTGTTTGATAAGGAAGTACAGTTTGCATTTCAAGTTTTGTTTCCGAAAGTTACATTTTTCTCCCTCCAAAAAACGGGGGGGAGGGGGGAACTGCCCTCCACATACTGTCAACATTCTTAGAAAATGTACAGCTCTAATCAGGGGTCAGGTTCCCTTTCACAACAGGAACAAGAGTGGTCAGAAGCAAGATTTTAGCAGCCTAGACAGACCACTGGAAACAAACAGTTTATTGCCAGGTCCAACTGAACCTTTTTATTCCATGTAACCCCTTCTCCCCCCCCCCAAAAAAACAAACCCAGGTCCTTTTCTCCAGCTTCACCTACTTCTTGCAAAGCAGGGAATGTTAAAGGGCTAACCCTCATTCTTCCAGCCTGTGACATCTGTACAAGGAGCGCTTGTTTTGCCTTTGTGATTTGAGGCCTCGGGCAATGTGACTGCTGGCTCTTTGGAGGAATCAGGGGATATTGTCTCTGGTGGTCCGGGTTCGGAGACTCCAAGTCAGGGATCTCTGCCTTGGGGGGTCTCACCATTGTTAAGTGTTAGGCCTGTTGGCAGCATCAGTGCCTGGTGTCACCCCCCTCATCCTCATCACTAGCACTGCTAGTACTAGCACATTATTTTCATAGTCAAAGGGGCCAAGAATTGTTGGGGACATGAGGGGTGCAGGAACCTTTTCATAATCAAACCTGGTTCTCCAAGATTAGAGTCCGCGCTCTTAACCACTACACCAAACTGGCTCTCGAATCCATCCATCGCTGTTTCTCCGGGCCCTTGTCTTCAACTGCAGGCTGGAACCCATTTTGTCTTTCATACTTCCAGCACAAGCCAAGGCACCCTGGTGGCTTCAGAAGGAACCAAACACTGTGTCGAATGAGTTTTGATAAACAAAAGATAGCAAGGAAAGAACGTCGGGAGGTGTGGGAGAAACTCCCTCTGGTTCCACTGCCTTGGTAACCTGCGGAAATTGGTTCCCTGGGCATCAGCGTCACTAACAAGAGACTCCAGTCCTGAAGTCACTTTGGGAAACCTGGGCAACAAGAACTTCAACCTTCAAGCTCCTTACACGGGCTTCCCTTCTGCAGGAGAAATTTTCACATGTAGGAGAAATTAATTTCAAGGTGGCCTGGGAAAGCGTGCCTGTTGACGGTAGACCCTCCACTGTGCAAACGTCAGCAGCTGCATGTGGAGGAGTGGGGAATCAAACCCGGTTCTCCCGGATTAGAGTCCGCGCTCCTAACCGCTACACCAAACTGGCTCTCACACTAAACTGGCTCATTCGAACATTAAGTACCCTTTCCCCACCATAGGGGCTAATGTAACTGTCAGTCAAGTCTGTGACGAACATTTGACATACATCGGATGTCTACAACAAAGTCAGCCCTTTTTATCACTCGGGTCAGAAAGGTTAAGGAAAGTCAGGGTTAAGTTAGGTTGACTCAGAGAGTCAGTGCTGAGTAAGAGAGTGCCAAGAAGCTGGTTTCAGATATGCTATCTATTTAGAATTTGATACTGTATAAGCGTTCCACAAGGCAAAAGACAAGTAAGGAAAAAGGCGTGTACAGAGTTATCTGTACCCGAAGGCCACGGCACTTATCAGAGTCCTGAAGCCTCCCGGGAAACAGAACCACAGATTCAACAATAGAGGCTAATTGCTATAGAAATTAAAGTATGATAGGTATACCAGAGGTTTAGCAGAGGACTGAGCTTCAATCCAGCCCTAATTCTGCGACAGGAATACACTGTGAAGTCGACACCAGTCACTCTTCCTTTCTGAGGACCGCTTGGAATGAATTAGGTGAGGGGCATCAAAGGAATAGGGCATTTGCCATTTTCTAATTCGTAAGCCAAACAGTAGGGACCCCAAGCGTATGAAATGTACAGAGATGAAAAACGTAAGGGTAGACCCTCAAAGCATTCACAGATTTCACAAGTTAGCATTAGACAATAGTCTATTGCAACATAATTACAGTAAAACAGCTAATAGAGTAAGAACATAAGAGAAGCCAATGTTGGACCAGGCCAGTGGCCCCTCCAGTCCAACACTCTGTGTCACACCGTGGCCAAAAATACCAGGTGCCATCAGGAAGTTCCAGCAGTGGGGCCGGGACACTAGAAGCCCCTCCCATTAGTGGTCACAATTCCAAAACACTAGTAACAATTCAAAGAATAGAAGACAAAATTTGGTATAACAATTAAGAAAGAATCCAACAGGCGACTCCCCTATATCCTTTCAGTATAATAGTGTCCTAAAGACCTCAAAGTCCACAAAAAAGGCAGAGGGTGTCCCAAAGATAAATCTGCAGTCAAAAACGCCCTTCCTAGGTATGCCAGACATTTCAAAGCATTCTTCCTCAGTTGTACGGCTGAAAAGTGGGACCTGGTTTCCACAGCAATCTAGGCACAGTTTATGTCTCAAATGGCTTCCTGGCATACCTAGGAAGGACGTAGTTACCTACTGAAAGGATATAGAGGAGTCACCTGTTGGATTCTTTCTTCACTATCGAATTGTTATACCAAATTTTGTCTTCTATTCTTTGACTTGTTACTAGTGTTTTGGAATTGTGACCACTAATTCTACTCTATTAATTATTTTCTAATTTGTGGCAAGCCTCAGAGACCTCAGTCAACCTGCTGTGGTTCTCTTCTCAAAATGTCCCTTGTTATCTGGTCAGTTTACTTAGCTGGCTAGGACCGGTGTGTGTGTGTGTGTGGAATCATATATTTAAACAGGCCCTTTATCTTATGTTTACTAAAGGAAGAGTCCAGAATACCCAGAGACTTTCTGGAATTGTCACTGTATGGGAGTCTTTGGGGTTGAGTGGAAACATTGGCCAAAGGAAAGCCAGTGTTTATTTGATTTATTTACTTTTCTCCCCAACTCAGATTACTTTCTAATATTTATTTTTATTTCATTTTTAAACATATCGT